AATGACTACACAGTGTGTCAATTAGAAGACTCATGACCAACTGACCAATCAAAGCCTATTGTGCATTTCTGAGGGAGGAGGTTCAGGGAAAGGGAGGAGAAACAGTGAGAATAAAGGTAGAATAATTGAGAAAAAAAAAAAAAAAAAAAAAATATATATATATATATATATATATATATATATATATATATATATATATATATATATATATATATATATATATATATATATGATGAACATGTTACAATGCAACCCATAAACACAATCAACCCCCCAAAATAGCACCCCTCTGCCATTTTTTATTTTTTCTAATTTCCAAAGGCATTATAATTGCATGTTTTGTTTATTATATCTTATATAACACTTTCATTACTATATTCATTGTACATGACACTACTTAGCTATCTTGAAATGTATACTTTCACATCAGCACCTATCAAGAATTCTTGCAAAACTTTAAAGAGTTTTGCTGACAGACGTTCCCAAGTGTGCTGTCACAAATTTTTCTCGTACACAGAGCTTTTCCAAACCCACTAGACATGGTTACCTACGTCTCTTGTTCACACTTTGTTGTTGGCTGTCAAAATATTTGGTCCTATTCCAGCTTCTCAGGGTTCTGGGCCAGTTTGGTGCCAGTTTGTGTGAGAGTTTGTGGAGAGGTGCCATGTAGAAGCGTGAATGTTGTACAGCGGGCGTCGTGCCCAGACTCCCGCTTTAATCCCGAGCACTAGATTCACAAAAAGAATGTGAGAAGGTGTCTTGTGACCTCATTGCTGCACAGCATAATTAGAGACTGCTTTAACAGATTCACAGGTGTTCATTGCAACTTAAATTGTACTGAAACTGTTATGTGTGAACTGTTTATCATTGTACAGTGCCCAGTATAAAGGAGTACACCATGACATTTTCCCCTAAATAAATTAAATGAATTCTTTCTAAAAACTTGATTGTTGGTTTCACATTACATTAGTCAGTGCTAAAGGCAAAATTAGAATGATTCTAACAAAATAATTTAAGATCATAGTGCAAAAGTAAGTACACCTACAATAGCATAGAACATTGAATAAAATTGTATTTCTTGCCTCACTGCAAGAAGATCGCTGGTTTGATTCTCGGCTGGGTCAGTTGGCGTTTCTGTGTGGAGTTTGCATGTTCTCCCCATGTTGGAGTGGGTTTCCTCCGGTTGCTCTGGTTTCCCCCACAAGTCCAAAGACATGTGGTATTGGTGAATTACGTAAGCTACATTGTCCATAGTGTATGTGTGTGAATGAGAGTGTATGGATATTTCCTGGTACTGGGTTGCTGCTGGAAGGGCATCCGCTAAAACATATGCTGAATAAGTTGGCAGTCCATCCAGTTGTGGCAACCCCAGATTAATAACGGGACTAAGCCGAAAATGATTGAATGAATGACTGAATAAAAGCATGAATAAAAAAACAAATGCAAACAAAATATTACATGTTAGCTGGGACTAATTTCAGAGGCTGCATCCTCTTAAAGATGCATATGAAGGGCTTTTTTTTTTTTAAATCGAAGGATCTTTAAATGCAGGCTAAAAATTTGTAATCCTTTCCCAGGTAATGAAAGACACAACCGGTGGATCCGTTGTGACCTCGAACATCCCAAAACTCATTGTGTGCTGATAACGGCTGGACGTTTTTTAAAAGAAAACTCAGGAATAAATGAATTAGGTTTTGTTTTACTTAAATATCTAAACACATGTTGAAAAACAAAAAGAAAATGACATACAGTCTTACTTAAAAGTATTTTACAGACAGTTTACATTTTTATGTGTACATGTATGTATCGAAGGAAAGCTTTTGTAAGCCTTGTTTTGCCTTCAGATCACTTAAAATAAGTTTTAAAATCACTTTAAAAAAAAAAACCATTACAATTTTTTTACCACTTATTAACAGCAGCTGTTACAGTTGCTAGATGATGAGATCTTACCTCTGTAGGCTGGATCATCTTATTTCAAAATGCTCGATTCGGCCTGTGTAGAGTTTAAAGGTCTTTGAAGTCTGCATCCTTCTGAGGCAGCTTTAGTTGTAGGGTGTAAAAAAAATTATATGAATTAATATAAATATTTAATACAAATGTATTGTCTGTATTGAAACTGAGAAAATAATGTTTTAAATCTTCTTTTGAAATGTGGTGTACTATGGGCTCTATTTTAATTGTAATAATCTAAATGCAAAGTCTATAGCGCATAGCGCAAAATCATTAAGATCGTGTCTGAATCCACTTTTGCTATTTTAATAAAAATAGGAAAAATAGGCTCTGCATATTTTAGTTGTGTTGCACCACGGCACATTTGGTATTTACAAGGCGGACTTTGTACATGGAAAAACGGAACCATTTACTAGCCAGAAAACAGTTAAACAGACCATCTACAGCATGAGGTTAAAGAACAAGCCTCCTCCATTCGGCCTCTTTACTTTCTCTTTACTTTACTTTTACTTTTTACTTTACTCCTTTTGTAAATAAGGAAGCTGTACGCTGTAAGCTGAAGTGTTGTACGCACTCCACTAAAGACATCCATTAGCCTACATATTTAATTTCTTTTGTTAAGTGCGAAGATTTGTTTCAAAACTATTTCTAAATTCAGTTCTAATTTCCCGCAAACAAATAAATGATCAGTAATAATGAGGTGTGGTCAAAAAACACACATTCTCCAAAAAACAACAGATGAACACATCTAAACTTGTTTTTATGAAACAAATATAAATATGCATATAATAAAAAATACTGCTAATAATAATAGTATTATAATAAATGTGAAGGCATGGAGGTAGTGGTTTTTATATTTATGTAGAAAATAATATTTTTTGTAACATTTTAATCCTTTAATTATTTTTTTCATATATTTGTGTATTGAACTTTAGACCAGCTTTCAGTTGTTCAACGGCGCGGTCTATTTAATTTAATTTAATTTTTGTGTCGGCTTAGTCCCTTTATTAATCCGGGGTCGCCACAGCGGAATGAACCGCCAACTTATCCAGCAAGTTTTTATGCAGCGGATACCCTTCTAGCCGCAACCCATCTCTGGGAAACATCCACACACACATTCACACACACTACGGACAATTTAGCCTACCCAATTCACCTGTACCGCATGTCTTTGGACTGTGGGGGAAACCGGAGCACCCGGAGGAAACCCATGCGAAGGCAGGGAGAACATGCAAACTCCACACAGAAACACCAACTGAGCCAAGGTTCGACCCAGCGACCTTCTTGCTGTGAGGCGACAGCACTACCTACTGCGCCACTGCCTCGCCCGCAGTCTATTTAATTTTCAACGCACCAGCAATGCACCTTAACACACCTCCTTTTTAGAACGGAACACCCATAAGTCCACAAAGTGGTGCAAATGGATTTGCTATTTAAACAACATGGCGCAAAACCTGAAAATTAGGGTTGCACTGGTCACAACAAAGGTAACAATGTAACAAAGGTAACAACAAATCGCGCCAAACAGGTCTTGCGCCTTTTTGCGCCAGATGTATAATAGGGCCCTAGTTGTTTTAATATAGAATAACAACATAGAGTAACAATTCTTGTAAAACAAATGTATCACATAAAATAAATCAGTAGATATAAAGCTTTCGGTTTTTAAAAAGGAAATCATCACAGTTTTCTCATACTTATGCTTTGACATGAATAATTTTTCCTCATTTTAAAGGTTTGCTGTGGACATGAGCTTGAATTATGCAAGAACTGTAATATTGAGAAATGGTATAGCAATTTGAAACAACTGTTTCATCTTTGAATATATTTTAACGTGTCATTTATTTCTGTGCGGTGAAGATGGTGAATTTTTAGCATCCAAAAACATCAGTGTCACAGCATGCTTTAGAAATCATTTTAATATGCAGATCTGCAGCTCAAGAAACATTTGTTATCTCTGTAAAAACTTACATGATTATTGGATGATGATTTATGTTAAAACCCCCTTTTTCAGGACGTTTTAAGGGAACAGAAAGTTCAAAAGAACATAATAGTAAAATAGATATAATATTGTATATAGAATTTATATGCACATTTTTAATAACAATAACAAATGCTTTACTTTGACCTTAAAACAGTTTAAAAATGAATACCTTTCTAACATCAAATCTAGAAAATGTTACTTAATAATGCCAGACATCAGGTTTTGTTCAGAAATGTAGTATAATACACTTTATTTTGCTGCTTGACAGGATCATAGAAAAATGTTTGTCTCACAGTTAGGTGATTTTGAAGGTGTGCTCAGCTTTTAACCTTTCCTTCATCTTCCTCTCTTCATCTCTCTCAGTTTCTTGCTCTCTTTTTTGTCTAAAGGAGAGATAGCAGACTGATTAGATTTTCAGACTCCTGAGATAAATTTATATAGAGCAGTTCAGTAAATTTGCCTAAGAGAGATTGAGCTTGTGCCTAGGCTATCCAAATTTAGGTCACTTATTTCATCAAGCAAATACACAGATAGGAAAAACTAAGGGAATAACTCTGCATATTTACCCAAAGTCCAATCAAGCCTTTCTGAATGCCTTTGAAATTCATGGCCGGCTGCATTCGAAAACAAATACAGGTATAATTATGAGCAAGGGTTTGCGTTTGGTGTATAATCATCGCTGTATAAAGCATGATATTGTTTGAACAGATCTGAGTGGGTGATTATAGAAAAAGGTTATTATTGGGCTTGTGTTATTTTGTTTGGATGCACATATGTAGCATCTGCTATATGTTTTTGTGTCCTTTAAACAATGGGATTTTATATATGTAAGCGAGTTCTTCAGGCTTTTTCTGTACCTTTTACAAGCTCCCTCAGAAAGGTCATCTTTTGTTCTTGTCTGAATGACATGTTTTCTCTCGCTGCCAAAGCAACGTCACTTTTATTCCTCAAAGAAAAGCCAAACAAGGACAGAACTGAAAGTAACCTTGTAAAGCCTACGTAGGCTGCTTCTTTAGTTTTCTGCAATCACTTTAGTTTTCAACATGTTATTTAATTCTTTCCTTTTTAGGTTGCCATGACTTATGCTCATCGTGTCAGGGGGCGGGGCCTCAGGATTGTTTGACATGCTCAGACTCCTCCCACTTACTGAAGGATGGATACTGTGTTTCAGACTGCGGCCCAGGCTTTTACACAAGTCAAGGCAACTGTTACGGTATGATGAGACAAATTCTGTTAGTTATTTATTGATTTTGTGTGAGTTTCATTTTCTGTTGGTCAGTAGTGAAATTAAGCATGTTTATACATTTTGGTTTTTAGAGATGTTATTTGAAATGGCATGTTTTGGGTTTTATCATATGCTGTTGAATATAATATATGACTTTTCCTTATATTTTCTCCATGCAGTTGTTGTTAACTGTGGTAGTTGTTGCTTTCACATTTCATCTTTAAGTGTGTATTAGTTCAAACAGAGCTGAAAAATATCACATTTAAAACACATTTCCTTGTCAGACGTCTCCTAGCCTTTAGGAACATTCAGATCCTCAAACATTTAGGCCACATACACACTTTAAAGTTCGACAACGACATTTATATATGGGATTTGATTTCCTTGACTGTCTCTCTAACGCTGTTGTCACTGCAATATCATTTCTACTATTTTTGACCAGTTTAACGGTACCAAACATAACTGTTAGGTTTGGAAGACTGCTTCAAAGAGTTCAGTCTTGCAGTGTTGCTAAGGCTTGCATGACTCATAAATCAGTCAACATCTAAATATACATTTATTTATTTAGGAGATGCTTTTACTTACAAGTGGAAATTAAAGAAGCTCTTCAAACCATTAGAGAGCAGCAATACATACAGTATATGCCATGACAAGTGTTAGTTTACTTAGTTTAGCAGTTTTATTATTATTATTTTTATTGTTATTTTTGTTGTTATTAGTAATATTATTATTAGTAGTAGTAATAGTAGTTGTAGGGTGTTTCTTTTTTCTCTAAAAAAACCTTTTTGCAGTTATACGTCTTTTTAAAATTTAATTATGAGACTTAAATACTGCATTTTATCGACATTTTATGCACTATTTTTAGCTGAATTAGCTTGTCGTATGGTCATAATAACCACACCTTTTGATGTACCAAAAATATTTCTTACTTCCTTTACCCATAGTTACCCATATTACTTTCTGCAGTTATTTTTGTTGACTTAATTAAAAGAGACACATCTCTGATGTTTAAATATGTCACTAACAACTAGTTGTTTAGTTTAGTTACTGTACACAAAGTAGAATATTTGCGTATGCAATTTTCAGGTGTAAACCAGAATTTAAATTTGCTGATATATTTTTTTCTGATATATATGCTGATATATTATATTTGTCATCCAAGTTCATTTTTTGTAAAAAGGGATTGTGTGAAGCCCTTTGAAAACTGCAATTTGGACTTTCAACCTCCACTATATGTAGAAACATCCAGGAGCTTTTTTTCTTCAAAAACCTTCATTACTTTTTGACTGAAGAAAGATAGACATGAACATTTCGCATGGCATGGGAAAGAATAAGTTGTCTGTAAATGTTCATCCTAAAGTTTAACTATCCTTAAAAATCAGGTGTTTGCTTTTGTCACTTTTGAGAATTACAATGTGTATTTGTACAGAAGAGGATTAAGCTCTAAAACTGACAACCAAATCTAGCTGCAAAGTGTATGTGACCTTACTAAATATAATTGTAAGCCATTTTAAAATCTGTTTGCTTGTCAAGTTTGTGTCATGTTGTCCACCGGCACTCAGTGTTTTTTGTAGTTCATTGTATTTGATTATATTGAGTAAGCATTTTGATTGGCTTGACTGGTTATGGCATTTTAATGACCTTTTTCATTGTTTGTTGATGATAACACCATTCCTTGTACTGTAATGACAAAGCCTGCTTCCCAAACATCCCCCTGTCAACACTACAGCAAATGCAGAATGACACTCTACATGTCTTCTTTATAGTGGAGAACTTAAGCTGCCACACATCCAGCTTGTCTGTTTATCAGAAGTAGAAGTGTGCTGATGGGAGTTTGTTGGGTTTCTGACTGTGGGTAAAAATAGCTTGTGGTTTGAGCATTTATACTGTATTTTGTATTGATATGCTGACTTGAAGGTTCTTAGGCTTTTCTATATTTGTTTGTTCTATTTTTAATTGAGGTTTCTCATAAGTGTTTCTCACAAAACCTCAAATTATTTTAGTCATATGAGGTTATACTAAATTAAAAAATAAAGAAATCTTGTAAAACACGTTTCTATAAAAATAAAAGTGCGTTTTATTTACAGCATTGCAGTGTAGCTGTTTTATTTATATCAGATATTTGATTTATTTATTTGTAGCTTGTGACCCTTCCTGTGCAACCTGCCAACCTGACAGCCCCAGCTGTATGAGCTGCCCTGCAGAACATGCACTGCATCAAGGGAAATGTGCACCACAATGTCCAGCGCAGTATTACAAGGATGACCACGGCCGATGCCAAGGTGAAAAATTATCTATTACTGTTTTTATATTTTGTGCAACACGTAGGCTTACTGGCAACCAGAGGCTCATAAATCTCTTTTGTAGCGAATTGAAAACATATTCTTCATTCTGAAACCCATTTTCTCTGCCAGAGACGCTGCTTTGGAAAGTTTCCCTGTCATTTGGACTCGATCCGTTGAAATGTCTTACCTAGGTTTTTTCCGCAAAACCGCAGGGCCTAGAAAATGATCATTGTAGTGCTATGCTCGATTAATTTTAAAATCACATTTAATACCCTGTCAAAACCTAATCCTGTGGTGTTTAGTCAATTAGCATTTTTTTTGCCAGGCACCTTTATCCTTCTAGCTGATAAAAACAGCATAGAGTGCAGTAGCTAGAAAATGAAATGCAATCAATTGTTTTGAAGACGTTCGAAAGGTGAGCTGTGGTTGTATTCACTGAGAGTGAAGGTGATTTGATGTTTCCCGATGAGCCTGTGTTAATGGTTGTTAGCGTGGAATGACATACCTTGGAATGTTGTGACTGACCAATCTGAATTGAGAATTCCAGATAGCAGTGTAAAAGGTAAGGGATGAAGTACACCCATGTGTTTGTTATCTCAGAATAAAGACCATATGCTAATTTTAACATTGGGCTGTTATATAAGACTGAAGGACTTCTGCGAAAACAACCACCTGGATATACTTTATCCCACGTATTACACAGTTACATGCCACAAAACATAAAAATTAGACATTGTTCTGAGCCAGTTTATTAATTCTTTAATTAAAGGTTAAGTTTACAAAAAATAATTGGCTGAATGGAACATACACTAACCTACATACAATTCAGTCACAAGATGGCGCCAAAAAATTAAAACAGCCGTGAAACAGACATAATAGTATCTAACGGCAGACTTGCATCGAGTAATTGGCGTGACCCACAGCAATTACTTTGCGTAGTCGTAAGTTGTTACTTCTGCGTACTGTTTGTGTTGCTCTGCAGTAACACTTCCAAAACGCTATCTGGCAGATAGGCGTTTATGTTCCACTGTGTCGAGATTCTTCGCGTGTGTTTTGTTTTTTCCGAATGCTACTTTAACGTACAAGTAGCTAAAACTCGTTCATTCTGAGGCGGGAGCCGACGGACATGCAACATCATTAATCATATGGTAAACACAAAACAACAGTTTCCATCTGGAGCTACTTCACAGGACTCAACACTTGTTCCAACGGGTTCACGCGGCTCTCAGTCCCGCTCACACTGGTCACAGTTACCCAAGCCGACCATTCACAGAGCTTGCGCTATGTGTCGTTGCAATGTGTAGTTACTTTTTTGAGAGTTGCACTTGATGCAGAAGTATAAATCAGCCCTAAGACTTACAGTCTCAGACATGCAATCTATGACACAATGCACTCAATGGAGCTAGTGACGTCACTGTGAGGGATAGGGACGGGGTTAGGTGTGCACAGTAAAATCATTTCATTTCATATTCATATATCTGAGATTACATTGTGTCTGCATTCAGAACCTTCTCAAAGACAAGCATATACATGGACAGTTGAAGTCTTAATAATTAGCCCCCCTGAATTATTACCCCCCCCCCCCCACCCTCCCATTTTTTTATTATTTCTTTTTAATGAAAAGATATTTTTTCAACACATTTCTAAACATAACAAAACTAAACTAATAACTGATTTCTAATAACTAATTTAGTTTTATCCTTGCCTTGATGACAGTAAATAATATTTGACTAAATGTTTTTCAAGAGACTTCTATACAGCTTAAAGTGACATTTAAAGGCCTAACTAGGTTAATTAGGGTAATTAGGCAGGTTAGGGTAATTAGGCAAGTTATTGTATAATGATGGTTTGTTCTGTAGACTATCAAAAAATCTGGCTTAAAGGGGCTTATAATTTTGACCTTAAAATGTCATTATGTTAAACTGATATTATGTGAGATACTGTGAAAATTTCATTGCTCTGTTAAACATCATTCAGGAAATATATATATTTTTTTTAATTAAAAGGGGGGCTAATAATTCTGACTTTAAATGTAGATATATTATTGAAAATGCTGCTCTAATTTTATTGAAATATTTTAGATTATTATTAGATATTTTATTCTTCAAATTGTTTTCATCAGACAATTTTTAACTGTCATATTACAATCTGTCACCTATCTCAAAGCAATTCGTAACTTTAATTTCGTGGCTAATTCCTATTCATTTGTATGATATCATTCATACATATTAGATTTGATCATCTTCAATGATGGTAGGATTAGGGGTGGGACTTGGGGGCATGTCTCCTTTTAAAAATTGTACTCATTCATGTGAATTAGCTCTTTTCTGACAATACAGTGCTCAGCATATATAAATACACCCCTCACAAATCTCATTTAAATTCATATTTTAATAGGAAGCTTTGCAATATTATATTTGTGACTATGCATTAGATTGGTCAGTACCGGAGCCAAATCTGGAGCTGATCTAACAAGATAACTTAACAGTCCAAAAACCAGTACACCCAAATCTATATGTTATAGAAAAATAATAAATATGAATTTATATAAGAGTAAAAATCAAAAGAAGCAAAATGAGGTGTACTCAGTTATGCTGAGCACTGTACATAACATGGTTACATTTACTTATTAACATCCACTAGATAAATGCACATATCTGCACTAGACAAGTCACTCACACTTTTTCAGCTTAGCCCCTGATTTATCTGGGGTCGCCACAGCAGAATGAACCGCTAATTACTGTGGCATATATATTTTTTTTTTATGTAGCTGATGCCCTTTCCAGCCGCACAATAGACAAGTGTGAAATCAATTTAAAAACATATTACACTTTGAACCTCATGAGAATTTAAACAAACTAAGAAACTCCATAAGTGTTCTGGCTCTCCCCTACTCAAGAACTCATACAGTTTTTAATGAAATTGCCCCTGACAGGTTATATGTCAGAAGAGGTCCATGCTGCTTTATTTCCACTTCGGTCTTGTTAGCTGTTTTGTAAATCCCTGTGCTGATTGATTCGTCTGTTGTTTCTCCAGCTTGCCACAGTTCGTGTGCGTCCTGCTCGGGGCCTGCTGTGTCTCACTGCACCTCCTGCTCAAAGGCTCTGATCTTGAACCAGGGCCAGTGTGTGGAGTCCTGTGGAGAGGGCCTGTTCTCCAGAGCGGGACACTGTCACAGTACGACTGCATTTATTCAACTCTTACATCATACCGTTCTGAAAACTGGGTCAGGATAAAACAAGATAGATCACAGATGCGCTGTTCTAAGGAGTTTAGATGGCTTATTACTAAACAGCGCATCTGATTTGACCACTCGCTAAATGATGCAACACATCATTAAATATGAATTTTAAATTTGGGTAGAGAACACACAGTTTATAGTTGAATATAGACAGACAAACAGACAGACAGTACAGAAGTTGGGGAGTTTTTAGTTCAGTAGTGGTTTAGTGTGTTACCTGTAGTCATTAAGTATGGTTGTCCCCTGCCCCAGTGTGTCAATCACTGCTGCATTGCGGGTGAGTGTGTGTGTGTCCTGAATACAGATAACTTACACTGCCTCAGTGTGTAGATTTAGACCATTTGTTCATAAAAGTATAAGTTTTGTAGAATGGATATAAAATGAGGCTGTAGATAGCACAAAACCTAATTAGTACTGTTCAAAAGTTTGATATTGGTGCATTTTTTAAGAAATGTATACTTATATTAAGCAAGGTTAAATTAAATTGATGAATTGGATTTGATTGACTGATTGATTGATTGATTGATTGATTGATTGATTGATTGATTGATTGATTGATTGATTGATTGATTGATTGATTGATTGATTGATTGATTGATTGATTGATTGATTGATTGATTGATTGGCGATTACTCATGTGAGGGTTAATTTTAGAATTTGTAATTTTAGGAAATAATATTTCATTGAAATACATACAGGATTTTATTTACTCAATAAACACTAAGCCTGGAAATACTAATGTTTCTTGAATTTAAGTGTGGAGAAAAGGTTGATAGATAAAAATGAGGGGAAAACAAACATGCACTGTAAAAAAAACTTATTCTTATTCACTCAACTTTTGAAAACATCAGCTGCACTGACCTAAAATTATTTGTCAAGAGTAAAAAAAAAAACATTTAGTTGGCTTAACATAAGATTATTTATTAGTTTTCTGGAGAGGTGAACTACTCAGTAACAAAACTTTTTAAGTTGTGCCAACTGAACTTTTTTTGTCCGCAGAACTGGAATGTCTGAAATTGAGTGAACAAATAACAATCTCTATTTCCTTTTGTTTTTTCTCTTAGCACGGAACAAAAATTTCTAAAGTGAACAAAAAAGAAATATTTTGCAAATTGGTACTTTAAAATAATACGTTATAAGAACAAACAAACATAGTTTATCAAAAAAAAACCTAGACACAATTAGAATTATAAACAGGACAGAAGGCAAAACAATAACAACAGTAAACAAGAACAAGAGAAGGATCCAAACATGGCAGAACAAACAGGGGAAATGCTTTGTAATGCTTCACATGGACAAACAAGACTCAGCCAAGAGTCTGTGTGAATGAGGTGTATACTGTAGTCCCAGTTTTCAGTCCATCATGAGCTTCCAGCTGTGTGTGTGGATAATCAGAAGGAACCAGAAACTGATTCCTCCATTTGAATTATAGTTTGAGCATTTTATTTGGCATTTAATTATGGATTGTACTGAGTTTTTCATGAAAATTATATATCAAATACATTTCATTTCTCAATTGAGAATGCATTTTGATTTATTATTTAATTGAGATTAACTCACCTTAAACTAACAGATTGGCAGTAGCTTTTTTTGGCTTTCTTTGGCTTTCTTTTTAGCTTAATGAAGACCATTTTGATTTAGGTTAAGTAAATAGTTTTAAATGTAGTTGTACAGATATTTTTACTGATTACCATGATTTAAATTTAAAAGTAATTTAAACTGTTTTCCAGTTGCATTTTTTACAGTGTATGGATGCTTGCATGAAATCTGAATATTATTAGTTATCTGGATGTAGTCTAAGATCACCTTAACAAAGCAGCTATAAAATGTATGAGATTTAAATTAAAAATCATATAATTGTATCAGTGCATCAGTCTAAAGTGATTATGTTAATGCAAAATCAGTTAAATGTACAGTTTAGTTCACCTAAAACTGAACATTCTGTCATCATTTGCGCAGCATTTGCTTGTTCCAAATCTGTTTGCCTTTCTTTTTTCCATTTGACACACAAAATAAGATATTTTAAAGAAAGCTGGAATCCTGTAATCATTGACTTCTATAGTATTTGTTTCTCCTACTAGGATTACAGGTTTTCAGCTTTTTTCAAAATATCTTATTTTCTGCTCTGCAAAATAAAAAACTCATCAAGGTTTGGATGCACTTGAGGGTGAGTAAATAGGGAGAACATTTTTATGTTTGCCTGAATTATCACTTTAAAGACATACAATATTTCCATCTCGACACTAACCTGTGTTTGTGTGCATGAACTTCTTTCTCCGCAGGTTGTCATTCGTCCTGTAGGGTCTGTGTGGGTCCAGACTCCTCAGACTGCACACAGTGTGTCAAAATGGAAGAGGTGCTGCAGCCTCAAAATGGACATGTCTCTCACGGGTCCTGCATGTCCGCCTGCAGGCCACAGCATTACCTTGAAACAGATCGGACCTGCAGAGGTGAGCAAACAACTTCCTTTTATTTTTAATCTGAAGATAAATAGGCCAGGCATACAGTACATGAACCTTTTATTTCAACAAACTGTAATTAGTTTTTTCTGAAAATGTGTTTGGAAAAAAATCAATGATAATGGATAGCTTTGATGTCTGTCTACGGGTTTTAGAAATATTCAGCCAATGGTAAGCTTAAAAAAGAGCAAATAAAAACTTATAGCTCCACTCTGTTTACATTTTGTGAATTGAATTTTATTTAACAGATTTTAGACAAGCTGTACAAAAATACAAGTATACTATAAATTTTAAAATAAAAACTGTTGAGGATAAAAGCACAATAAAGCCCTGGGCTTGTTTCCATTGCGGTCCTCGCTGTTAAATAAACCAATGTATGGCTTCAATATACCAATGATGCATAAAACAAACAGTATATCCAAATTTTAAAACAGGAACAAAATAATTCACAAATACATTCCTTCATTCATTCGTTTTTCTTCTCGTCTTAGTCCCTCTATAAATCAGGGGTCGCCACAGCAGAATGAACCGTCAACTTATCCAGCATATGTTTTACACAGCGAATGGCCTTCCAGCTGCAACCCTATTCACAATCAAGTAACATATAAAATAAAACATCATCGTCCACCATGCAAACTAATAATCCTCATCAAACAACCATCTTTTGATCACTTTTTTGAACCTCCTTAAATCTTTTATTTTCTTGATTGATTTGGTCATTTCTTCCACATGATTGCACTTGTATATAAAAACGTTTTTTTCCCAACTAGACTTAAATAAATTTATATAAACAAATATTAAAAACCCAACCCCTAGTACTGTTTGAATGCTGTTGCCTCAACTTTTTACCAGATAACTTTGATCCACATTATTACACATTTTACATACTATTCCCAGATAAATTTAAAAAAAAACTCTATTACACACAGTTTGCAGGGGTTTTTTTGGAATGGAAGCAGAAATACAGAAATGCACTGCAGAGAGAAATAAGTTGACTTTAATTTAAATAGGTGTGTAAACACATTGCTTATAAACCGATTAGTTGACTTTAACTAAAAAAAAGAAGTAAACTGTTGCCATAAAATGATTAAGTAAACAAACTATGTGCATAATTACATAAGGTTACAACGTGTTTACTCACTTTTTAAACAAGTAAATAAGTAAAGAATTTTCTTTACTCCAGAAGCACTACACCTGAAAATACTTTTTAGGTAGAGTTTAGGAGTTTTTTAGTTTAGCATTTAAGCTATCCTTAATACCCTTTGCATACACTTCATTATTTAAAACTGAGATTTTGGTCAAATGTACTTGAGGTAAGTGGATGAAGATGTAATGTAGTGCACTTACTGTCTTATATGTGGTTGTCCTAATGATTTAATGATATCTCCAACACTAACGGCTCAAAAACCTTTTAACTGTATGTTAGTTTGCAGTTGGTGAAATATTAATGGCACAATGGCAAGCACATTGTGACAACTTTGAAAATGTATGTTTTTTAAAGAATATAAAGAGCACTTTTCCCATTTCTTGAAACGTGATATGATTGCAGATTCTCTGTTGCTTCTTGATCATGATGTGATACAAGATAAATGCAGAGAAAAAATGCATTGACTTGTTTTGAGTGACACACGGAAGCTTGTTTGCACTAGTTTTTCTCAATGTCTTCATGCTTGATGACTGAAGATGTACAGTTTACTCCAGATACAATGTTGTACATGATGACATTCATTGAAAATTTAGATTCTGACCGAATCCTGTCAAAATGCATTTGAAATGACATTTCTGGAGTGCTAAAAGACTAAAGAGTAAATCTCGAAGGAAGTGTGGTGTAGGCTGTCATACAACAGCACAGAAATTAATTACAGTAATGACAGCATCTGCTGGTAGTATAATTATCAAGATCGGCAGACTTTTTATAGTTCTTCCACTGCTTACTCTCATAGCACTGCATAACATTTACAGCTGCTATTACAGTCACGTTGAATGGTGTCTGAATTTTTCACAGTGAATCATTTCTGTATTTTTGATGTTTGCACACGCTGTGAGCTTCACAGGGATGGGTTTTTGGCTCCAGTGTGAGTCGAATACATTGCATGAAACTGACCTTCACATGCTCAGAACTTTAAATATCAATTATAGCTAATAAAATGTATTAAAAAAATAAGTACTATAGTAATTATAAACAAACAAACAAACATACAAAAACTAAATAAAGTTAAAATAATAAATCATTAATTTTAAGATTAGAAAGGAATAAAAATGAAGGAACTTTATAATGTATTAGTTAGTTTAGAAGCCTGACACTGAAGGTAGTGATTAAGTGGCCAGCGGGGTGTTCATTCAATGGGTCCACTGTCATGAAGCTCACTGCAATAATAATGTGCAAGTGCCTCTTTCTTCAATGAAGACCTTTGTGTCAAGCCAGCATGGAGAGACAAATGTTGAGCTTCCTCAGGGCTACTTGTCTGGAGTGTATGTGTGTGTGTGTGTGTGTGTGTGTGTGTGTGTGTGTGTGTGTGTGTGTGTGTGTGTGTGTGTGTGTGTGTGTGTGCGTGTGTGTGTGTGTGTGCGCATGTGTGTGGATGTGCTGATGGATCAGATATCACACAGAGGAAATTCCAATCTGTAAATCCCTCTAGAGTCAGTCTTTCTGCAGACCTATACGTGTCTGTATGTCTTGTTTGATAGTGTGACAAGAACCATAAATAATTACTTTGGAACGTGGCTTCTTTTGATCTGAAAGCAAGAGCAAATTTGATTCACTTTCAATCTATTTTTGGCTGTGGGCAACCATTAAGACATCATTAATTGCAATAATTATTTCTTTCTAAAATGATTTGCAGATCATACTTAATATGTTTTCAAATGCTTAGCAATGTCTTGGTATTTTTAAATATTTCGATTAATTTGTATTTTTTGACCCTATTATGATACTGTTTGAATTGTTATGATACTGTTTGAATTGACCTTATTCTAAAATGCGGAAGTGCGCCTGTTTTCGCGATTGTTTTAAAACTTTCGATTCAGTCGCCTACGGGAGAAATGACTAGGAATAATAAATGGCAGAAAACGGTCAAACTACTTGCTCTACAAACAAATGTTTGCATGACTTTACAGACCAAGGAAAATAATATAATAAGAAAATATCAGTCTGCAACATCAAACAGCGAAACGAGCAGTTTATAATGTCTAAAAATAAATGGAAGTGAATGAGACCGGTAGTCTCGAGCCAAAAGGATTTAAATCGCTGCGCCCACTCGTCGGTGAAGAATAAGGTGAATAGGCAAAATTGTAAATCTAGATTAAACACCCACTGGTATTATTGGCTAACTGTTATTTGCATACTTACATTTACGTTTTCTGAAGGATTGTGCATGTATGCTTGCCAGGCTGCTGTGATTTAGACTTTTAAAAACCTCATAAAGAGTCAATACTTATTAAACGATATGTAATAACAGACATAGCAATAGTAAACATGTAATGAAAACAGTTACTCAGAAAAGTTTATTGCGATGCTACTGCCGAATCCAATAGTCAATACAGCATTGTTTTTTAGTTTTAGTCTTTTTGAAAATCTACCACTGAGTTGTGCCTTTGTAAACAAATGTGCTATTAAGTGAAGTGAACAAAGGGTCAGGTTCTTATTCCAAGGGCTGTAATTGAAGATTAAACTTCATCCAGTCTTTCATAATGTTGAGATAAGAAAGAATGTGATAGCAAAAAATGTTTTACATAACTTGGCACTTAACTGCATCTTGTTGTCTTGAGAGCTGTCTTCATCATTTTGTAGCGGTGTGTCTCTCTTTTGCTAAACAGACAGTGGTGTGGAAGCAGGCGTTGATCTAAACAGGATTTTAGCCACGCTATTACATAATATATTGCAATGTTCACAACCTGTTGTTTAGAGACCGGCTTCATCAAAGCCTGTCTTGATCCTATAGGCATGTGCATGTTCGTTTAAATGGCAACAACTTTTTTGTGACCAAGAACACATAAATCTAATTCTATGTGGAAGTTTTTGAAAGCACTGACATTGTCATGTCATGTAAACACCCGAAAACGTGAGACTTTAAAAATAATGATGTCATGTGCGTGCTTACAGTAATTTGTGTTAAGGGATGTGTACATGTAAGGTAAGTGCGAAGACAACAGTAAACAACTAAAATTCACACTTTGCCGATAAAGCGTTAGCAAACTCTACCATGTACTCTGTGTACATGGTAAAGTTTGCTAACGCTTTATGGGCAAAGTGTAAATTTACTTCACATTACAACCAACAGCAAATTTCACATACACATCAATGTCAAGACATCAAATTCACATTGTCACTATCTCATAGGCTTCATTTACTATCAAGGTGACAGTGCCAAATACTGACCTGGCATACAGTATGTATTACAGCATTTTTGGCCATTTTCGTGGATGTACAGTATAAACTTGTGTTATTTTGAAAACATTTTTATGTAAACATTATACTTGTAAAAACCCATGGCAAATACTCTTTTGCTTTTGGCTATATCTTTTTGTGGACACTACGTTTGTCAGTGTCGATCTGGGGTGCGTTTCCCAAACCACAACATAACTCGGGGCACAGCTATCATAGTACGATGCATTGTTTGGGAAAAGAACGATGTTTTGACAAGTGTTACAGCCAAAACATAACTTTGTGTGCATATTATAGGCTTTGCATAAAGTGTTGTGCTCCACCCTGCTCTCTCTCTATCTCCTCTCTCTCTCTCTGTCCTCTCTCTCTCCCTCTCTCACCCCGACTCAGGTTAATTAGCTCCCAGCTGCTAATCGTTTTGAACCTGCTTGAGTCGGAGTGGCTTGGCTTTAAATACTGGCTTCTGAAGCTAGAGAGCTGAGAAACACTTCTCCCCAGCTCTGAAGTGCAACAATTGGTTGGTTGGTTGGTTGGTTGGTTGGTTGGTTGGTTGGTTGGTTGGTTGGTTGGTTGGTTGGTTGGTTGGTTGGTTGGTTGGTTGGTTGGT